CTCTAGGTGCGTCTACTCCCTCAGGTGCTGGTGAGTCTGCTCTCTCAGGTTCTGCGTCGGCTTCGGCCTCCCACACCTTCACACTTGACTCGGGGGCTTCTCGCTCCTTCTTTCGAGACCGCACCACACTCACGCCGCTTGGCCGGCCAGTTGCGGTCTCCCTGGCAGACCCCTCTGGGGGTCCTGTCCTTGCTCACTTCTCCACTGTCCTCCCGTGTCCGGCGGCCCCCTCTGGCACCCTGTCTGGTCTCTACCTCCCCTCGTTCTCTACGAACTTGGTGAGTGGTGCTGACCTACAGGATGCGGGGGTTCACCAGTTCACTCCTGCGAGTCAGCGGGTGACCCACTGCACGGACGCTCGGACAGGCCGCCACCTGGCCACGTTTACACGTCGGCCGGGGTCGAGCCTGTACACACTGACCACTGCGTCTCCTCCAGTCCCTGCGTCTAGTCAGGTAGCCGCGTCGGGTCAGGTGTTTGCTGCAGCGTCCAGGTCTGGTCCTGAGTCTGCCCCCTGCTCGTGTCGCCTCCTGTCTCACGAGACTCTCCTCTGGCACCACCGCCTTGGCCACCCCTCCCTGCTTCGTCTCCGGAGCATGGCCTCCCGTGTCCTTGTCTCTGGTCTTCCCCGGTCCCTCCCTCCCCTTCCTCCGGGGCCAGGCCCTACCTGCGTCCCCTGTGTCGAGGGACGGCAGTGGGCTACCCCTCACTCCTCCCAGTTTCCTCCGACAGAGGCCCCGCTGCAGACGCTTCACATGGACGTGTGGGGCCCGGCCCGCGTCCGTGGACAGGGTCACGAGCGCTACTTCCTGCTGGTGGTTGACGACTACTCGCGTTACACCACAGTCTTCCCCTTGCGCAGCAAGGGTGATGTCACTGAGGTGTTGATCGACTGGATCCGCGCAGCTCGTCTCCAGCTCAGGCGGAGCTTTGGCTCGGACTTTCCTGTTCTGCGTCTGCACTCTGACAGAGGCGGAGAGTTCTCCTCTGGCCTTCTGCGAGCCTACTGTCGTGCACGAGGCATCCGCCAGACCTTCACGCTTCCGGACTCTCCACAGCAAAATGGGATTGCTGAGCGCCGCATTGGCATGGTCATGGACGTCGCCCGTACGTCCATGATGCATGCGGCTGCCCCCCATTTTCTGTGGCCGTTTGCGGTTCGGTACGCGGCGCATCAAATCAACCTTCAGCCCAGGGTCTCCATGCCGGAGACCTCCCCAGCTTTGCTGTGGACGGGGAAGGTTGGCGATGCGTCTGCGTTCCGTGTCTGGGGATCTCGGGCGTTTGTCCGCGACTTGTCTGCGGACAAGCTGTCCCCTCGTGCTGCTCCTTGCGTCTTCCTGGGTTTCCCCCCTGACGCCCCAGGGTGGCAGTTCTACCACCCCACCTCTCGCCGTGTTCTGTCCTCCCAGGACGTCACGTTCGACGAGTCGGTCCCCTACTACCGCCTCTTCCCCTACCGCACTCCGTCCCTCCCCCCGCCACCGCTCTTCCTTGTACCAGGTCCCCCCCCGGTAGACCCCCTCCCCCCTCAGGGTCCTGCCCCTTCAGGTGTGTCCCAGGTAGACGCTGTTGAGCCTGTCGAGGTCGCTGGTGACTCTGGTGCTGCTGAGGGTGCTGAGCCTGGGGTTGCTGACTCTAGGGGTGCTGAGCGTGTGGGTGCTACGTCTGGGGGTGCTGAGCCTAGGGGTGCTGAGCCTGGGGGTGCTGAGTCTGGGGGTACTACGACTGGGGGTGCTGAGCCTGGGGGTACTACGCCTGGAGGTGCTGAGCCTGGGGGTGCTGCGTCTGGGGGTGCTGAGCCTGGGGGTACTACGCCTGGAGGTGCTGAGCCTGGGGGTGCTACGCCTGGTGGTGCTGTGCCTGGCGGTTCACCGGGTGCTCCCTCTCGCCGAGAGCCACTCTCTCCCTAGGAGCTGCGTGAGTGGTTTGCCCGGCGCTGGAGGCGAGCTGCTGGAGCTGCTGGAGCTGGAGGTGCTGCGGGTACTGGAGGTTCTGTTGCTTCTGAGGGAGCTGGTGCCACGGGTCCCGGAGGTGCTCGTACTGGGAGTTCTGGAGCTGCTGGACCTGCGGGTACTTCTGGAGCTGGAGTTGCTGCGGGTGTTGGCGCGGAGGCTACTGCTGTCGGTCCTGGAGGCAGTCCTGCTGGGGGTACTACTGGTGCTGCTGGGGGTTCTGGAGCTGGAGCTGCTACTGGTGCTGGTGCTGCCCCTGCGGGTGCTGGTGCTGTCCCTCCTGTGTCTGGAGTCGCCGCGCGGCCTCGGCCGTACTTCGTTCCGCTCCTTCAGCAGGTTCTTGGTCTCCCGCCTTCTACTGGTCCTCCTCCTCCCTTAGAGTGTCCACAGCCTGTCCCGTCGCAGTTACAGTTACAGCCGGCCTCCCCATTGCCTGCTCCGTCTCCCTACACTGGTCCTACTGGAGGTCTTGCTGAGCGTCGTGAGCCTGCGTCTCGCCCTGCGTCGCCTGTCCGTGCTGCTCGCACTAGTGGTCGCGGTTCGCGTCAGCGTCCTCCTCCTGTCCCTGGCACGCACCGGATGTCTCTGCGTCCGTCCACTGCTCCTCCGCGTGCCCCTTTGCCTTCTCCTCCTGAGTCTTCTCTTCCTACTCTTGCCGACCCGGAGTCGGACTCTCTTCGCGCTGCCAGTCCTACTGTCACACGTCTCCTTGCTACGGTTGTCACTGACCCTTCCTTTGAGTCCACTGCTGCGTCTGCTCTAGTTGCTGAGCTCGTCGACTTTGCTGCTCGCTGTCGCCTAGACTACGTCGCCAGTCTTGTTGCTGAGTCTGAGTCTGTCTGTCCTCCGTCCGTCGGGGGTGAGTGTGCCCTTGGCACGGACGTCCTTGAGGACAGGCAGGAGGAGTTCCAGTGCTTGGCCACTGCTTCACCTCATCTCGTGTCCGTACTGCTTACCCCTGAGGGAGACCCGGATGCACTTGACATCCCGACTCCGCGCTCTTACGCGGAGGCGATAGAGGGTCCCTACTCCTCTCAGTGGCAGGCAGCTATGGACGCAGAGATGGCTTCCTGGAAGTCCACAGGCACCTACGTTGACGCTGTTCCCCCTCCTGGGGCGAACATCGTCAGTGGCATGTGGATTTTCAGGGTGAAGCGACCGCCGGGTTCTCCGCCTGTCTTCAAGGCGCGTTACGTGGCTCGTGGCTTCAGTCAGCGGCAGGGAGTTGACTACTTTCAGACCTTCTCTCCCACCCCGAAGATGACCACTCTTCGGGTACTGCTGCACGTAGCTGCTCACCGTGACTACGAGCTACACTCTCTTGACTTCAGCACTGCTTTCTTGCAGGGCAGCCTGCACGAGGAGATCTGGCTGCGTCGCCCACCTGGCTTCACTGGGTCTTTTCCTCCTGGCACCCAGTGGAGCCTACGGCGGCCAGTCTACGGTCTCCGCCAGGCACCGCGTGAGTGGCACGACAAACTGAAGACTACACTTGCGGCTCTTGGGTTTGCTCCCTCTACTGCCGACCCGTCGCTGTTTCTGCGCACCGACACTTCTTTGCCGCCGTTCTACATCCTCGTGTACGTCGACGACTTGGTCTTTGCCACAGCTGACACTGCTGGACTAGCCCACGTGAAGTCCGAGCTGCAGAAGAGACACACGTGCACTGACCTGGGTGAACTGCGCAGCTACCTTGGCTTGCAGATCACTCGGGACAGAGCACGCCGCACCATTACCCTGACTCAGTCACACATGGTGCAGCAGGTCCTTCAGCGCTTCGGCTTCACGTACTCCTCGCCTCAGGCCACTCCTCTGCCTACTCGCCACTCGCTCTCAGCTCTGCCTTCGGATGAGTCCGTAGAGTCGAGTGGCCCGTACCCAGAGCTTGTTGGCTGCCTCATGTACCTGATGACCTGCACACGACCTGACCTTGCATACCCTCTTAGCATTCTTGCACGCTATGTTGCTCCTGGGAGACACAGACCGGAGCACATGGCTGCAGCGAAGAGGGTGTTGCGCTACTTGTGCAGTACGTCGGGCATGGGGCTTGTGCTTGGAGGGCAGAGTCCAGTGGTCCTTACTGGGCACGCAGACGCTTCTTGGGCTGACGACCAGGCTACGCAGCGGTCGTCGCAGGGTTACACCTTCAGCCTTGGTTCCGGCTCTGTTTCGTGGCGGGCTACTCGCTCGTCTTCTGTTCTCGGCTCCAGTTGTGAGGCTGAGATCTACGCAGGAGCCATGGCTGCACAGGAGCTTCGCTGGCTCACCTACCTGCTGACTGACCTCGGAGAGTTGCCTCGTTCTCCTCCAGTGCTGTACGTAGACAACAAGGCCATGCTGGCCTTGTGTCGGGAGCAGCGACTGGAGCACAGAACGAAGCACATTGCTCTCCGCTACTTTCTTGCTCGTGAGCTGCAGCAGCGTGGTCAGCTGCGTCTTGCGTACGTGGCCTCTGAGGCCAACACTGCTGATATCTTCACCAAGGCACTTGCGCCTTGTGACCATCAGCGCTTCTGTACTCAGCTGGGCCTTGTGCCTACCTTGCCTCACTTGCTCACCTCTTGATCTTGCTTGTACTGTTACATATATTTATACCTGCTCTTGTTTGTCTAGCCTTTTTTATATATATGTGTACTCCTGCTTGTGAACTGGCCTTGTGGCCTTGAACTTGTGCTCGGAATGTGTGGTGACTTTGTGATCCACCCTGAGCTTGTTTTTTGCTTTGCTTTGCTTGACTGGTCTTGTGACCCCTTGTTCTCCCCCACTTTGCCTATGGGGGTGTGTCAGATTTATATGACATAGCTACTGTAGGCTAGAGTGGGGTAGCACATATGGGGTACAGTTTTCTAGGGTTTGCTTCTTGTACCCAACTTTCACTTAGTCATTCCCATTCCTGTTTTTCTTGATTCACAGTAGGAGCCTCTCGTGGTGACCCTCGTGCCCCTTTCTTTGAGGGGTGCTCCCCTGTCCCCCTTTTGCCCACTGTTGCCTCTGCTGCTGCTGTCGACCCCGTTGGCACCGAGTCGGTCGGGGCTGCGTCTGCTCCTAGTGGGAGGCGCCGCGGCGGCAAGGGCAAGGGGGGCAAGGGTGGTGGAGGGGACGGCGGGGGCGGCGGTGGTGGCGGTGGAGGTGGTGGAGGGGGTGGGGGTTTAGGCGGGGGTGGAGGTGGGAGTGGGGGCTTCGGTGGCGGTGGTGGAGGTGGAGGCGGCGGCGGCGGCGGCAGTGGGGGTGGCGGCGGCGGTGGTGCTGTTTGGGGTGGCGCTGTGCAGCGCGGAGGCTTTGGCGGTGGCCAGCGCCAGCAGCAGCAGCGTTCTCGTGAGGCCCCGTCGCCCCAGCAGCTTCGTGAGTGGTACGCTGGGCGTTGGAGGTCTGGGGGTGCTGGTCCCTGCGCTTACGTTCTCCGCACCGGCGAGCGCAGTGGGGAGACGTGTGGGCTTCCGCACGCTACGCACCGCTGTTTCGGCCGCCTGATTGACGCCTGGCGTGCACAGTTTCCTGACGCCACTGAGCTCCCTCGCTGGGGTGATCTGCTTAGGTCGGGGGTTGCTATATTTTATCTTGATTATGATGCTATCCTTGCTGCTATGTATGCTGTGACTATTAGTGCTGAGGGTGACTGTTACCTGTGTGTTTTGCCCGACCCGGGCATTGAGGCTGCTGCTCTAGGTGCTAGTGAGGCTGCTGCTCCAGGTGCTGGTGAGTCTGCTCTCTCAGGTACCGCGTCGGCTCAGGTCTTGCACTCTTTCACCCTTGACTCAGGTGCTTCCCGCTCCTTCTTTCGCGACTGCACCACACTCACGCCGCTCAGTCGACCAGTGGCAGTCTCCCTGGCTGACCCCTCAGGGGCTCCGGTCCTTGCGCACTCCTACACGGTTCTGCCGTGTCCGGCGGTCCCGCCTGGCTCTCTGTCAGGTCTCCACCTCCCCTCGTTCTCCACGAGCTTGGTGAGTGGAGCTGACCTTCAGGACGTGTGGGTTGACCAGTTCACTCCTGGAGGTCAGCGGGTGACCCACTGTACGTGTACTCGGACGGGCTGGCACCTGGCCACGTTTACCCGTCAGCCTGGGTCGAGCCTGTACACCCTAACTACCGTGTCTCCTCCAGTTGCTGAGTCTGGTCAAGTAGCAGCATCCGGTCAGGTGTTTGCTGCAGCGTCCCGGTCTGGTCCTGAGTCTGCCCCCTGCTCGTGTCGCCTCCTGTCTCACCAGACTCTCCTCTGGCACCACCGCCTTGGTCACCCCTCCCTGCCTCGTCTCCGAGGCATGGCCTCCCGTGTCCTTGTTACTGGTCTTCCCCGGTCTCTCCCTCCCCTTCCCCCGGGGCCTGCCCCTACCTGCGTTCCTTGCGTCGAGGGGCGGCAGCGCGTCGCTCCTCACTCCTCCGAGTTCCCCCCGACGGAGGCTCCCCTGCAGAATCTTCACATGGACGTGTGGGCGCAGCCCACGTCCGTGGACAGGGTCACGAGCGTTACTTTCTGCTGGTCGTTGACGACTACTCGCGTTACACCACAGTCTTCCCCTTGCGCCGCAAGGGTGAGGTCACTGAGGTGCTGATCGACTGGATCCGCGCTGCCCGTCGCCAGCTCAGCGAGAGTTTCGGCTCGGACCTTCCTGTTCTGCGTCTGCACTCCGACAGAGGTGGAGAGTTTTCCTCCGACCTTCTGAGGGCCTTCTATCGTGTGGAGGGCATCCGCCAGACGTTCATGCTTCCGGCCTCTCCACAGCAAAATGGGATTGCTGAGCGCCGCATTGGCATGGTCATGGACGTCGCTCGTACATCCATGATCCATGCGGCTGCTCCCCATTTTCTGTGGTCGTTCGCGGTTCAGTACGTTGCGCTTCAGCTCAACCTCTAGCCCCGGGTCTCCATGCCGGAGACCACACCTGCTCTGCGGTGGACAGGGAAGGTTGGCGATGCGTCTGTGTTCCGTGTCTGGGGATCTCGAGCTTTTGTCCGCGATCTGTCTGCGGACAAGCTGTCCTCCTGTGCTGTTCCCTGCGTCTTCCTTGGCTTCCCCCCTGACGCGCCTGGTTGGCAGTTTTACCACCCCACCTCGCGCCGTGTTCTGTCCTCTCAGGACGTCACGTTTGACGAGTCGGTTCCTTACTACCGTCTCTTCCCCTACCGCACTGCCCCCCTCCCCCCACCCGCCGCTCTTCCTAGCGCTAGGTCCTCCCCCGGTAGACCCCCTCCCCCCTCAGGGTCCTGCCCACTCAGGAGTGCAACTCGTAGTCGCGCTGTGCTGCAATATGCAGCAACACCTGAAGAGTACTCATCTTCGGGGTGGGAGCGAAGGTCTGGAAGAAGTCCACCCCCTCTCGCTGACTGAAGCCTCTCGCCACATAGCGCGCCTTGAACACAGGTGGTGATCCAGGCGGCCGCTTCACCTTGTAGAGCCATCGGCCACTGACGACGTTCGTCCCAGGTGGTGAGACTGCGTTGACGTTAGTGCCTGTGGACCTATAAGATGCCATCTCTGCCTCCTCAGCTGCTATCCAGTACGAAGCCCAGGGTCCCGAGACCGCCTCGGCATGAGTGCGAGGGATCGGGATGTCAAGGGCGTCTGGATCTCCCTCAGGGGCAAGTAGCATGGCGCAGAGATGAGGAACAGCGGCCGCAAGGAAACCAAGCTCAAACTGCCTGTCCTCGAGGACCTCCAAGGGAAAGACGGGAGCACCCCCAGAGAACGGAGAACGAGCAGGGCCACTCACCACATGAGCGGCGTAGTCAAGGCGGTGGGAAGAGGCAAAGCCAGCGACAGTGGTAACAAGAGCTGAGACAGACGACAGAGGTGCAGTCGGGTGAGTGACCAACGCGGACAAAACACGGTAGACGACAGGACGGGAGGCACGGAGGTAGTCGGACAACGGGTCGTGAAGCACAGTGAGGGACGACTGAGGGGGCTGTGGAAGGACAGGAGGAGGTGGAACACGAGAGCGAAGAACAAGGTGGAACGGACCGTCTGCATGGTAACGGGACCGACGACGCTCTGGGGACACAGCACGACTGAGCGGAGAACGACGAGTCCTCTGGGACGAGGACAGGGACTCAACAGGGGGAACAGGAGGGGACGGTAGGGGACCACGAACAAAGCGCGCAGGTGCTGGGTCGGGGAGGTCGCGTAGTCGCAGTCGCTGCTGCTCCGCCTCCTCTGGCGTCTGCTGCGACGGTACCGGCCCCTGCTGCCGCACCTGTGGCTCCACCTCTGCCCTCTCTTGTTGCGACTGTAGTTGAACCCTGGGACTCCTGCACTACCCTCTCCTGCTGCGGCCGTGACTCCTCCTCTACTCTCTCCTTCTGGGTCTGTAACTGTACCTGCTGCTGCGGGTGGGACTCCTGCGCTACCCTCTCCTGCTGCGGCCGTGACTCCTCCGCTACTCTCTCTTGCTGGGTCTGGAACTATACCTGCTGCTGCGGGTGGGACTCCTGCTCTACCCTCTCCTGGTGCGGCCGAGACTGCTCCTCTACTCTCTCCTGGTGGGTCTGTAACTGCACCTTCTGCTGCGGGCGGGACTCATGCTCTACCCTCTCCTGGTGTGGCCGGGACTCCTTCTCGACCCTCTCCTGGTGCGGCTGTGACTCCTCCTCTACTCTCTCATACTGCTGCTGCTGCTGCTGCTGTGTCCTCTCAAACTGCTCACGCTCCTCCCTCTCCAACCAAAGGAAACGCTGCTCACGGGTCAGGAAACGTACAGTGCACGGTGTAGGCGCCACAGTGCCAGTGCCTCCAGCTCCAGCACCCCCAGAACCAGCACCTCCACCACCGACACCCCCGGGGCCTCCAGTACCTCCCGCAGGAACACCCCCAGGCTCCGCAACAACCGGCAGCAGAGAAGAACGAGGGGGAAACTGCGGGACAGACGGGAAGCTAGGGGGTGAGGCGGGGCGAGGCCGCCGACTCGAGGCTGCCGTGTCCTCCACAGGAGTGACCTCCACGCCCACAACCCCTGCACCCCCAGAGCCGACACCACCAGCTCCTGCAGCCCCAGTACCCTCACCCTCCGCAACTGCACCTCCCGCACCCCCAGACACGACAGGGACTGGACGCTGTGGGGGGGACGACTGCGGAGTGATGTGCGACACACCTGACGGGGCAGGACGCGAAAGGGGGGGGGCTACCGGGGCGATTGGGGGAGGCTCAAGGGTGAGGAACAGCGGGGGGGAAAAGACCTCAGTACCTCGGTGGGGGCGACTCCTGTAGTAACAGACAGACTCGTCGAACGTGACGTCCTGAGAAGCGAAGAACCCGCAGGTGACCGGGTCGTAAAGCACCCAGCCGGAGGCGTCCAAAGGAAAGCCAAGAAAGATGCAGGCACGAGTGCGCGGAGACAACTTGTTCGCGCCAGGGGCGCGAACGTGAGCCAGACAACCCCAGACGCGGAAGGCAGCTGCTACACCCTGTAAACCTGACCAGAGAGAGACCGGCGTCACCCATGGCCGTGCGTCACTGGGCCACAGGTTCAGCTGGTGCGCGGCGTAGCGGACCGCCTGAGGCCACAAGAACTGAGGGCACCGGCATGGCACATGGAGGTCCGGGCAACCTCCATGACCAGGCCGACGCGACGCTCGGCTACCCCGTTCTGCTGCGGCGAGGCTGGTAGCGTGTACGACTGAATGACTCCCCGACCCTGACAGAACGTCTCTAAACGAGTGGAAGAAAACTCACCACCACAATCCGAGTGTAGGCGAAGCCCACACAGGCCCTGGGCACCACCCCACGCTAGTAGCCACGGCTCGAGGACGGTAGGCACGTCGGCCTTCCGTCGCAAGCGGAAAACCGTGGTGTAGCGGGAGTAGTCGTCCACCACAATCAGGAAGTAGCACTCCTGACGTGGTCCAAGGACCGGGGAGGGGCCCCAGACGTCCAAGTGCAGGGTCAGGAAGGGAGCCGTGGTGGGGGGGAACGAGGAGGAGTGAGGGGCAGCGCGCTGCCGACCCTCGACGCAAGGAGTGCACAGCGGCGCAGGCGAGCGAGGAAGCAGGGCAAGCGACTCTGGGAGACTTGAGACCAGACGGTAACGTGCCATCCTACTGAGACGTGGGAAGGACGGGTGACCTAGACGGTGGTGCCCGATGACAGACGGGTGGGTGAGGGAGCGACAGTCGCACGACACAGCAGCTACCTGACCTGACCTGACCTGGCCTGACCCAGTGCGGTGGGACCCAGTGTGTAGTGAGTACAGACCAGAGCCCGGCTCCCTGTGAAAAGTGGCCAGAGGGGCCCCAGTGGTACCGTCTGTGAAGGAGGCAACAGGCTCGTCCAGTGGGAAAGTGGTGACTACACCTAGGTCGTGGAGGTGACTGACACCCACCAGGTTCCTAGAGAACGAGGGGGTGTAGTATCGTGTAAGAAAACCTGAGGGAGCCGCCGAACACGGGAGAGTGGTGGTGCTGCGAGCAACTACACGTCCCACAGAGGGGTCAGCTAAGGCGACAGTGACTGGAGTGCGCAGTGGTGTGAGGTTAGTACAGTCGCGAAAGAAACAGCTGGACGCTCCAGAGTCTAGGGTGAAGGAAAGATGTGCAGTCTGTGGGGTCGCACTCGAACCAGCTACAAAGGCTAGTGCTAGAATAGTGGTAGCTGCAGCTCCTACACAAAGATCCTCAGAGGCGCCTAGATTGGAAACAACACACGCACCAAGACTGGAAACACAGGTCTCTACTCGTGCAGCCGGGAACGGTCCTAGATCAGGTAGGTGAGACTCAACTAGTGCAGCAGTGCGCTGGCGAAGTCGCGAGGGCCAGTGCGTTGGAATAGCGTGAGGACCAAAACGCTCACGGTGGAGGTCGTCGAGTCGACGGTAGCAGCTGGACGCAGAGTGATCAGGACTCCAGCAGGTAGTGCCAGCACCAGGGCCTGTCAGGGCCCGGTATCCGCAGGGGCCGACGTCTCGCCCACTACTAGCTGAGCCACTGCTGAGGGCTCCACACTTTGGACCCGCAGGTCCCCACTGCCGGGAGTGCTGCAGCTGGCCCTGCTGCTGTAGAGCTCGAGTACAAGCCATGTGAGTAGCTAGAAACGGGGGTGGTGCTGGCAGGTGGGCCTAAACTGCTGTTGGCGGTAGGCTATCGTACTGCTGGTTCCGTTGGGGGCAGCCTAAGCTGCTGCTGGTGCACTAGCGGTAGCCTAAGCTGCTGCTCGAGCACTGGGGCAGCCTAAACTGCTGCTATTGGTGCTGCTGGTGGCGGGTTTCAGCCCTTGAGGCGGAGGATTCAGGTCGTGGGGGGGGGGGGGGGGGGGGGGGGGGGGGGGGGGGGGGGGCAGCTCTGACTGGTACAGGTGGGGCAGCGGGTGCGGTTCTGTGCGGTTATGTGCAGTTCAGTGCGGTTCTGCGGGGTGGAGAGTACCGGGTGGGGCGGCTGATTCCGGGTGAGGTGACTGGGACGGGTGGGGCAGCAGCTTTGGCTGGAACGGGTGGGGCAGCGGGTGCGGTTCTGTGCGGTTTTGTGCAGTTCAGTGCGGTTCTGCGCGGTGGGGAGTACCGGGTGGGGCGGTGTAAGTTGCTGGCTTTGCTAGGGGGTAGTTCAAGTTGCTGCTGGTGTGACTGGCGGCAGTCGAAGTTGCTGGTGGTGCTCCTGGCGGTAGTGTAATCTGCTAGTGCTACTGGCGGCAGGTGTGGTAGCTCGTGGGGAGGCGGGTGTCAGGTGGGGCGGCTGTTAAGGCAGCGGGCGACGGGTGGGGAAGGTAAGACGGTGGTTCTGTGCGGTTCTGTACAGTTCTGTGCGGTTCTGCGCGGTTCTGCACGGTTCCGTGCGGTTCTGTGCAGTTCTGCACGGTTCTGTGCGGTTCTGTGCAGGGGAGAGTACTGGGTGAGGTGACTGGAACGGGTGGGGTTGTAGATATGGCTGGGGCGG